TTATATAACCTTGTTCTCTTGGCTTCACATCTCTAATAAAATCTTTTAATCATTGTTAAAGTTATCAAAGATTCATTTAATTAACGTTGTTGAATAGCACCAATTGATGCTTAGGGTATGAGTCAAATGTTTTGGAATGGCATGTCTAAATATTCAATAGCTACCACGGATTTATGAGCTTTGAACAACGATTGGAAACCTAAGTGTTTGAGCATGAATTATAAAGCCGTGGACTACATCCATTAGGTTAGTGAGAAATCTAATAAATTCAATGCTCGATGCCCCAATTTTTTTACTTCTAGTTTATCCTTCTTACTCTAGTGGAAGATTCTACTATTTTCCGCTTTCAGAAACTCTATAATAAATTATTTTTTACTTATATGCTTTGCCTTAGGAAACGGCTAATTTTCTAGACGTGTTTTAATGTAGTTATTAAATGTTAATCTTCTTAGAATATTGGCATCCAAGAAGAGCTTTCATTTTCAGCGAACGAACATGCAAATCAATGATAACCTCCTGGAAGCCTGTGCCAAATATGGTGTCAAAAAGACTATTTCCTGCCTCTCAACTTGCATATTTCCCGACAAGACCACTTACCCAATCGATGAAACCATGGTTCACAATGGTCCCCCACATTTCTCAAACTATGGTTATGCCTATGCCAAACGTATGATCGATGTGCTTAACCAGTGAGTTATTTTCCTCCTCGCTCCACTCTCCAATTTCTCTTTATTTTGTCTCTATCACTTAACATTTTAATAATGGATGGAATTTTTTAATTTCACCCATCGAGTAATTATGGCCCTGGTATAGAATACTTGAGGTTTTGTGCGTATTTGCAAAAAAGAGACTAATTGCCGAACACTCATTGGCTATAGCACATAATTGAACTTTTTGACATCTTTATATTTCAGGGGAAAAGGTGTGACACTGAGGTAAAGCTTCATTTTTACGTCACTGGAGTCTGAACATCTGAACCTTCTTATCTCATGCCGAAGCTTTAGTAATAAATTAGACCTATTATTTGATGCTGTGCATAAACTTCCGTTAACTTTTAATTATGGTTTCATAAGATGCGGAAGCTAACGATTCATTATAATATAAACGACGTGATAGGCTGTCTGCTGTTGGTTCCTGCCTATTTTTCGCAGATCGCGTTGTGATTCCTCCATTAGTCAAATGAACTGTCTTGCAACACTTTCATAGCAGTCATCCGGGTTTCAGCTGATTTAAATCTTATTTATTTATATCAAATGGCAGGCGTTTTGATAGTTATCATTAGCCCTGGAGCTGACTTCGGGGCTTCACAGGGAGGAGAAGGAACATCAAAGTGACAAAAAATCGAGAGGAAGAACAGAAGAGTGATTCACAGATGTAAAAGAGGCAGACAGACAGATAAAAAGGCATAAAAAGGTAAGATGAGTACTGTGGAAGGGGACGAATATGACATACAGTGGGGTGATGGTAGTTTGAAGTCAACTGCCGGTTAATAGATTTTTTGCCGTATGGGTCTGTTGCCCAAATATGACATACAGTGGGGTCATGGTAGTTTGAAGTCAGAGGTCAACTGCCGGTTTATAGACTTTTTGCCGTGTTAGGGTTAGATCAACTGCCGGTTTATAGACTTTTTTGCCGTATGCGCATACACAATGACATACAGTGGGGTGATGGTAGTTTGAAGTGAGAAGTTGTGACATATAGTGGGGTGAGGGTAGTTTGAAGTCAGAAGTCCACTGCCGGTTTATAGACTTTTTGCCGTATGAGTATACTTTGTTGCCGATTAATAGACTTTTTACCGTATGAGTATACGTTGCCCAGGGTGCACCACGGACTCTTTTGCCGTGTATACGTTGCCCAGGGTGCACCAGTTTGTTTGCCGTATGAGTATACGTTGCCCAGGGTGCACCACGTGATAGACTTTTTACCGTATGAGTATACGTTGCCCAGGGTGCACCACGTGGTGGTAAGTCTATTGCACACCCCGATTTAAATCTATTGCAATAGCCGTTTGCATTACTGGCCTGGAATGGACAAGGATATCGAAACAGCTGTCCAACGATGTTTTAAGTCTTCCCTCCACCATCAGCTTGGTCTAAAACTGCAGTTTCGTGGTCCTGTATATGCTTGGAGTTTGATGTTTTCTCACATCTTGTCAGTGTTTCGCACTCAAACTGGCTCGATGTTATTATATTAAAGCTCATCGGAACTACTACGTTAATTGGTAGTCTTTGCCGTATATTTTTAACTCATGGGCTACCAGCGTCTACTTTCTGCCATATCATCTTCAATCAAATGGTTAGCCAGAGTGATTTGTTGCCATTTTGAAATGGTTGACAACAGGGGAGTGTTAATTTTAATGCATCAAACGATGCCGCATCAAACTTGACTTACAAAGGATTCAACCCCTCGCAGTCCATCTTTAGACTCCGATAAGACCTGTCCAACCAGCACAGCGGTCTAAGTTTGGGATCATTGACCAAATGACACATTGAAAGAAAATATCATTTAGAGTTCGATGTGGCACTGTGCTGTTTTAAGAGAGTGTTGGTTGTCATGCTTGGGCACGTCGTGGAAATCATCTCCGTCCCGGTACGTGATAGACTCATTGAAACTGGATCTTCTCGTGCCTGTAGCGGATAGGTCGCGAATTCGATATTTGTGAGAAAATTCCCAATGAACGGTTTGGACTACCGTAGAAGAGGAAGCAGAAAACCAAAGATTAAAGTTGAAGAACAATTCCCTTCACTGGGCCTTAAAATTGCACAACTTCTTTTGCTTTAGTGCCTATGCAGAAAAGACTGGCAATGTGTTCACCTCCATTATTCCAACCAACGTCTTTGGTCCCTTTGACAACTTCAACCTCGAGAATGGACACGTTCTCCCGGCCCTAATTCACAAAGCTTATCTGGCCAAAAGTGAGTTTAGTCTTGTTGTGTATTTCTTCCTGTGGCATTTCAGTTTTTGTATGGGCGTCAACTTGAAGCAATTTCATTTTGCTCATTTATTTATTTTAAATGGCAGGCGTTTTGACAGTTATCATTAGCCCTTTAGCTGACTTCGGGCTTCACAGAGAGGAGGAAGAGGAGGAACATCAAAGTGGCAAAAAGTCGAGAGGGGGGATCACAGACGTGAAAGAGACGGGCACAAAGGCAGAGAAAAGGTAAGATGAGTATTGTGGAAGTGGTTAAATATGACATACAGTGGGGCCAT